TAAGTATTTATTATTTTATATTTTTCTTATTTTGTTTAATGTTTTAATTGTAAGAATATTAAGATTCTATCATTTTATGGGCGGTGTATATTTCTGCTATTTATTAAATGTTAAATTTATGTTAATTTTATACATTCATACCATTAATTAAAGAAAAATTGTAGAAATATCATAAGTCATCTGGTAAAGTTGCTTAAATTGTTGCACTCATAATAAGTATAAAAATATATTTATTATCATTTTATAGCATCTATTCTTATTTTGAGCATAATTATAATTTTTTTAATGTTTTACTTTATCCATTAAAGTTTAGTAATTTTTATGCTGGGTCATTCATTTATTCTATTTCCAGAAATTATTTACAATGTAAAATACAACACTAAACCTTATTTTAATTTAATCTTTATTTTTTTAGAAATATTCCCTGAATTGTATTTTATTGTATAAATATACTTATAATTATATAGATATACATAAAAGGATGTCCAACCAATATATACAGTACCTAACCAAATTATATATTGATTACACTTTATCTAATAATATTTATTACATCCTTTATCATACTTTTATGTTAAAATATTTTTGGTCCAAGATTTTAAATGTTTAAAGAGGTAATTAAATCTAAATAATAAAAATTATGGAAATGTTTTATCTGTTTTAATTCATTTAGATATATTTAAAGTATAGAGATATTTGAAAAAATTTATATTCCTCTTTAAACTACTCCTTGCAATCATAGGTTTCATTAACTATGCTTAGAGGAATGGCTAAAATTAAAGTAAATTTGTCCATATTGTGAAACCGATTTATAATAATGATATTATTATTATGAAAAACATTAATCTAAGATAATTATTAAAAAAAATATTCAAGAGAAATTTCACCAAGAAAGAGGTAAGATTAATTATGTATAAAATAATACATTTTAATAAGGAATAACAAATATGATGAAGCTATAAAGGATTGCGCAAATGGCATTTAAATTAATTCACAATATGCTGAAGTTTATTGTAATAGAGGTTTTAATAAATTATTTATAATTAAGTAATGCTTACATGTGTTTAATGTAATTTAATGAAGCTATTTAACATTGTTAATAAGCAATTTAATAAAATCATCTCTGGCTGAAATATATGATATTAGAGGCATTAATTAAATTA